AAAACGCTGTTCGAAATGAAACCTAATAGCGTTTCTATGTACTAACGCCGCATGCGATTGTGGACCATTCTTCTGTCCCTCGCCTCTTCTCTTTTTATCTTATTAAGGGACCAACAAACTAACAAAGAACATTTGAATCAGTGATTTTTATGTTTTAATGGGTGTTAAGTTGCTTGTTGTATATATTGATGTTGCTTTTCACAAGCAAGTGATCGAGATAAAGCTTTTTAGTACAAAAGGTTTTTAATAAAAAATTTATTTATCACCTTTCGATATAGGTTCCCGCTCAACTTAGACTTTGTTTGAGACAGCTTTCTTATTGTTTTTTAAAATAATTTTTTTAATACAAAAGGTTTTTGAATAAGAAATATTTGTAACATAAAGTTGCTTTAGAAAGAAGAAAAAAAGATATAACAAACTGATACGGCATCACAAAATTAGCTTGATCGGGTACGAATCTCGAGGCAAAAGCTAGTTGGAAACTTCAAAAATTAATTTTGGGAGCACCCGAACTCCGATTTCAGCGAGCTTACAGTCAAACTGAGCGTATCGGAAATACGAACCCAACGACACCAAATTCAACTCAATCCGAGTCCAAATGAGTCCAAATCAAGGACCCGAAGCGCTCTTGGAAGGTTCAAACCGCAATTTGAGTTAGCAAACGGTCTCCGATTTTGACGAGCTTATATTTGAATCGAACTGCTCGACGAGACGAATCCAAAGAGCCCAAGATCGCTGAATTACGACATCATTAAGACCTCCAAATGTCCAACGAACGGTGCACGATCGAAGGATTCAATATCGGCCGTCCATTCGAACCACTCCCTATTCGCCCATGATCTCACACCTATTTACGAGCCACGTTACTCTAGAAAAACTATAAATATAGCCCTCATTCTTCACAAGAGGGACTCAAGTGAAGAGAGAGAAAAAGAAGAGAAGAAGTGAGAGAAGGAAGAAGCTCCTCCTCGACCACCGCCGGAGCTCTTCCCGCCATCTGAAGACGCCGGAACTCTGCTGAATTTTCGGGAAACGCTGGGAATTTGCAGAACTTTGTAACTTTGTGAGAAGTTGATTGTGGACTGATCGTCTTGATTTGTAAGACAGATCAACCTTTGTACTTCATACAAACACTAGTGGAACTTTACAACTTGGCGAGGCCCCATGGGTTTTTTCCTTTTTGGGCTTTCCACGTAAAAACTCTGATGTTCATTTCTCTTTTCTGTTTGTGTGCTGAATACTCGTGCAACGCTAAGACGAATATTTTCTAACTCTACTGCCGCGTATATTCTAGCACGCAACACAAACGAATCTTTAAGCTTCGTTTGAAATAGCTTTCTTACTACTTTTTAAATTATTTCAAAAAAAAATTGTATTAAAAAACTGCTTTATAAATAATAAGAAAGTTCTTATAAATAAAATCTTAGAATAATATGCTCTTTGATTTTATAATAGACATATATTTGAATTCAATATCATTATTAAATTAAATAGTTAGTAGCTCATCGCATGATTTTTTTTTTATAATCGAGCTTCTGTTCCCTTTATTTGCTGTTAATCATATGTTTATTTCTCTATAAATGACCATTCATATCCCCACCCTCTATACCCTCACATCACCTTTTTTAAGTGCTTCTAATTATGATGTAGTAGTAAGAGCACTATTATATTTGCATTAAATAATTCAACATTAAAGTTTATCTCTATTTATAAGACAATTATATATTTTAACCCTAACTATTCTTATATTATTAAATTAATCTTAAAGAATTAAGTTGTTCTAATTTAATCCCTAGCTATACAAAATTAATTCAAAATGATTTTTTTTAGACTAAGGCTTCATTTTGAGAGCTTTCTTGCCGCTTGTTAAAGCTAATACAAAATTAATAACAAAAAAGTTGTCCCAAACGAAGTTGAATGTTTCATTTGGAATAACTTTTTTATTGCTTTATGAAGCAGTTTTGTAGTACAAAATTTTTTTGAACTAAAAATTTGCCTACTAAAAAACTGTTTTAAAAAAAAGTAAGAAAGCTGTCTCAAACATAACCAAAGAGTTTGTTTGGGATGGCTATAACTTTTTGTGAAGATTGTTGTAAAATTGCTACGAGGAAGTAATATTTTTTAAAACTACTATAAAAAATAGCTTTCTAATAAAAAAATTTCTTCAACGAAATGAAAATTTAGTAGCTAAACAGAAACTATGATTACGGTATAAAAAGCCAAGCAACAAAAAAGTTATCTCAAACAAAGTCTAAATTGATATTAATTTGTATAATTGAACTAGGGGTGTCAAAATCAGGTTTCAGGTCGAACTTGGAACTGACCCGGGTTCAAATGAGTTGATCCTAACCCAACACGATTATGTAAACGGATCGAAAGTTCATACCCAGACCCGTCGGGTTATAAGGTTAACCCGACCTAGCATGGTAACCCAAATTTTATAGGGTCGCATTACACGTGGGCGGTTCGCATTACGCGCAGGAGGTTCGCATTACACGGAAGAGCTTCGCGCTTGCCCTCCTGGTGTTGTGCGGCCGTGCGGTCAGTGGTCTGGTGGAGCCAGACCAGGCGCATGGGAGCCACCAAGCAAAGGTGCGGTGCGGCCATGCAGTTAGTGGTGCGGGTCCTACAGGAGCAACGAAGCGAAAGCTAGGCCCTAGGGTTCCGAGTTCGAACCGTTCGGTCCAGTGCCAACCCAAGTGCGGGAGCTATAACGTAGAGGGAGAGGCGAACGGTAGGGCCGCGGGATCTAGTGAGCGTGAAGGTGGAGCGGGACTGTGGGAGTTAGGGTTCGGGTCAATTTCATGCATTTTTTGTTTCCGGGTCAACTCGAACCCGACCCTGACCCGTATAACAAACGAGTTCGGATTCGGGTCGAGTTTTTAGATCATGTCAAATATAGACACCCCTAAATCGAACGATTAAATTGAGATTTGACATGTCACAAAAAACTATCTTGATTGGGCAAGAATCTCGAGGCATGTTCAATTTAGAAATTTTTGAAATTAAATTTGGGATCATCAAAACTCTGTATCTTAGAAAATTTTTAATCAAATTGAATGTCTCAACGAGACAAACTCAAAGACACTAAAATCATCCCAATCCAAGTTCAAATGAACTCAATACAATGGCTTAAATCATATTTGAAAGCTTCATCACATTAATTGGATAACCAAATGATAATCCAAATATAGCATGCTTATGGCCGAATCAAGCAGCTCAACGAGACGAATCTAACGAGCCCAAGATTGCCTAACCCTGACATCATTAAGGCACTTAAAAGCTGAAGAAATCTTTTATGATTGAGAGAATCAATATGAGTAATTAGATGGAGTACTCCGAATTTATTTTGGATAAACAAGAGGCATGTCACTCCAAGTAAATTATAAATAAGCCCCCACTCACATGAATGGGAGGCTGGGGCCTAAGGTTAGAGATTCAAGAGAGCAATGAGATTTAAAAATTCTTAGAGTTCCACCTAGGCACCACTATCATCGAACTTTTGTCGCCTGGCTGTCGCCATCAGACTTTTAAAGGCCAACCATCCATCAGCCACTATCGAGTCTCCGTCTGACCTTCACCATCCAACTTCGGTCCCCCCCAACCTCCGTCGCCCGACTACAGTTCCCCCAACCTATGTCACATAAAGACAATCCCACCGACCTTCGTCGTTCGCCGATTATAGTCCTTCCCACATCTGTCATCGACTATAATCCCTTTGACCACTATCGCCCAACTACAGTTCTTTGACCTCAGTCGTTTGACTATGATTCTTCACGACCTCCATCACCCAACAAAGGTCCTCTAATCTCTGTCGCCCGACTACTACAAGCCCACGAACCTCCATCACCTTACTGTGTTCCCACCGACCTCTGCCACCCATCAACTACAGTCCTTCCGACCTCTGTCACCCATCAACTATGATCCCTCCGACAACTATCACCTAACTAGGATCCTTTCGACCACCACTGTTGCCAACTATGATCCTTCCGACCTACGTTTCTCGCCGAGTTGGCTCTTTGGACCTCCATTGCTCACAGACTATGGTCCCTCCGACGACTGTCACCCAACTATGGTCCCTTTGACCTCTATCACTCAACTATGGTCCCTCCAACCACAATTGTCCAATTGGGTCCCTCTGACTTCATCCGCGTGACTAAGGTCTCTCTGACCTCTGTCACATGACCATAATCCCTTTGACATATGTCGCTTAACTACGATCACTCCAACTACCAACGCCTGACTATGATTCCTCCAACCTCAATCAGCCAACTACGATCCATCCGACCTTCATCGCCCGACTATGGTTCATATGACCACCATCGCTCAATCATCGTTCCTCCAACCACTGTCGCCCAACCACAACCCCTCCGACCACCTTCGTCCAACCACAGTCACTCCAAACCCAATCGCCTGAATATGATCCTTTAACCAATGTCGCCCAACTACTTTCCGATCAACCAAGCAAATTGGTCAATTGGATTCTTTCCACTCCAACCATATAATGTGCTCTATATGATGTATATTTATTATATTATGTCAATGCATGAAGAGCATCACTTGTAATCAACGACAAACACTAATGAAATCATTTTAATTGAACCAAACTCGCTATTTTTTCCTTGCCTAAGTTTTCCACATAAAAAATCTAGTGCCTTTTATAATCACTACACCACTCTCATCTGTATATTTGTTGAATTTTGTATGAAGCTAAAACATTAAACTCTATCTCTCTCTACCGTTGCAAATTTCTGACACAACAAAATTAATTTTGTATAATTAAGTTACTAATTATAACAACATGATATTTTGAAACTAAATTAATCACATTCTTATAAAATATGTAGACTTTAAGCGCTCTCTCTCTCATCATTCTTTTCACAAATACGGAAGAACTCTAATTTAAGGGTCAAAGGCTCTTGTAGAAGGGTAGAAGTTTCCTTAGCTGCAACTTGAAAGTTTATTCCAACATTAAGAGCTCAAAAATACTTTGAAGCCTCTGAAAAAAATTCCGTAGCCAATTTTATAAAATAAAAATGCAATTTATATGTTAATAAGTCGAAGAAGAACTACAAAAGCTCCCAACTCTGATATTCAGCATTCCACAAAACGTAAGAAAATCAGTAAAAAAAAAAAAAACTTTTCATACGTACAGAGATAGGACATTAACGAGTTATATAAGTCCATGCAAAATTGCTCATGCTACAACTTGTAAGAAGAATTAATGGCCGTTCCAGTCTGGAATACCTTCAAGCAGAGCAAGAAGAAAGCAAGCATGCCCAACATCAATGGTTTTCTTTCCTCGTAAACTTTGTCCTGACGTTTCCTGACCGAAAAAAGACCAAAGTAGAAGAAAATGAGATGGCTTCGAAAAAACTAGCGAGGAAGAGTAATTCTAAGCAGGTTTTCATGTTCTGCCCACTCATATTCAAAGCCTTAAGAGAAGCTCACAATAAAGCCCTAATGTTTTGTGATGGGCAATAAATAATGTTAAGGGATATTTAGTGTGTGTTAGGTGGTTTTTAGGTTATTAGTAAATCTTTATGTTTTCTTGTAGGTTAGAAATAAGTCCCTTAAGAAAAATTAGGGCATGATGAAAAGCAAGAATGCGAAAACCTCGAGTTTTGGAACATCCATTTCTCCCTCTAATACCAAAAGCTTTGGGCATCCTACAATTGCCCTAGGCTATAAATAAGCCCCTTAAGAAAAGCTAGGGCATGAAGAAAATTAAGAATGTGAAAACTCCCTTGCGTTTGGCCGATCCTCTTCTCGCTCTAATACTAGGAGTTTTGAGCTTCCTATAATTGCCCAAACCTCTTAATGTTCAGTCATCCACACTAATAAATATATACACATTGAACTATTCTATAATACATATTGATTAATTGTGCTTATGATGAGGGATAGTTCTAATAAGGTTTTTGTGTTGTCCCCACTCATATTCAAAGCCTTAACATAAACCCATAGTAAAGCCCCAATGATTTGTGATGGGGAATAAATAATGTAATGCATATTTAGTGGGTGTTAGGTTGTTAGGTTGTTATTAGGTTATTCGTGAGTTTTTATGTTTACGTGTAGGCTATAAATAAGTCACTAGAGAAAAGTTTGGGTATGATAAAAAACAAGAATGTGAAACCCTTGAGTTTGGCCCATCCTCTTCTCCCTCGAATTAATACTGTAATGAAAGTCTAAGCAAGAACCTTTGAGCACCCTATAATTGCCCGATGATTTGTGATGGGGAATAAATAATGTAAAGGATATTTAGAGGGAGTTAGGTTGTTATTAGGTTATATTTCTTATTAGTGAGTCTTTATATTTTTGTGCAGGTTATTAGTGTGTCTTTATGTTTTAGTGGGAGTTAGGTTGTTATTAAGCATGTCGAGGACTTTTCATTACTTGTTATATTGTTAATTTGATCATTGGAAGTTCAATATTCGATAGTTTAAATTAAGGAGAGAAACTTATTGTGCTCAACTTAGTCATTATCTGATCGATTTGAGATATTATGCTACTTTTATTTGAATTTTGATATTTTATGTTACTTTAACCTAATGTTTGTGTTACACTCATAATTTGCACAGTTTGTTGCTTGATATTTTGTCTCTTATATAATTTGTTACTCGATATAAACATAAATCTATTACTTCTTACTATATTAGAATGTTAATATATCATTCTTGTAATATATTAATTAGTTATGATGCAAATATATTCGTTCTAAACTTCATTTTAACTTTAAAAGTATTTTTTGGATTATAAGGCTTACGAGTCAAAAAATCTTGAGCTTACGCCTAATCTCATGGATGAAACATACCTCAATAGTCAATTGTGCACTTTTAACTCTTAACAAGAACCATCTTGTGGATAAACCTTCTCAATTCTTGTTCACAACTTTCCTTGTTGATAAGCATAGTTCTAATAGGAAATACTTGAAGATCTCAAATAAGTCCTAACAAGATTGGTAAAAACAACGGGGAAAACTCAACAATTTCAATGAAAACAATCGAAAACAGTAGGTTTTATTATAGGAATCAAATCAACGGAATAAAACAAAGCAAAGATACAATTGATCCTCAATTCGAGAGGAGCATCGTTCTCTCCCAATCTTTTGATGAATTCTAAAGCCCAAAACACCAAGAAGAAACTCCAAGAGAATACAATAATCAAGCATGCCCTAATCCTAAACAACTTCATACTATTAATGCATTAATTCTCTTAAAAAATACATTAATTCCCTAATTCAAACTCTTTAATTCAAATTTTCCCTCTCATGCCTAGCCACCTACCTCTTTTTCTTCAATTTTCTCCTAGTGGGGCACACTAGCTTGGGCGGCAACACTAAAAGGAGGCGGCTCTTGTCCGCCTCCTGTAAACAAGAGCCGGCCATTGAGCCAACTGGGCGGGTTCAGGCTAAATCGGCCTAACAAGTTCATAAGAGACTAATCAAGGTCATTTACTGCTACAGGGACCTAATTGCAGAATAAAGCAAAGCATATCAACTTGCATGTGGTCCTATGTGAAATTTACCTTTATAATGATGATCATTTTTTTAGAGTGCTCGGTACATATTTGTTAAGATTCCGCTAAAAGATAAGTACGATTCTTAATAAAAGCTAATTCAAACGAAATGAAAGCATAACTTCGCATTGGCTTGCAAAAAATACTCGACTGTCACACAAGTAACACAAGTATAAATAACGATCAAGTGTCACTTACCATCTACTTCCTCGAACTCCGCTTCTTTTACCGTGTCCGCAGCAGCATTGTACTCAAACCTGCATGTTTACAAAGAAATAGTTACATTTTAAGCATAATCATTTCCATGCAATATTCCTCTAAAGACTGATATTTTTGCTTTATTTATTATTTCATAGGGTTCACATAGATTCTAGCCAAAAGGAAGTATTTTTCCAGAAAAAAAAAAAACTCCAGGTTATAAAACAAATCTAAAGAATTAATTGGGCAATGCCTTAAACCAAATGCAAACAGTGTGCATTGTTTTCACTTTTCTCCTACATAATTTAACAAATTAATAATACCAATAAAAAAGAACGCATCACATCTGCTACAGGGTCACGTGCCCAATATCAGATTAGGAAACCAAGCCATTACAAAACTTGTCTTTGTTGCTACACAAGTACAGACAAGCAATATGCTTAGAATACTACAGTTAGCGTAATGAAAGTATAAGCTAAAATAGAACACGTAATTTTGTGAAAATCTGTACAAATAAATGTTAAAGGAGAATTAGATTTTTAGGTTACAGATTAATCGATATGCTAATAAATGCTAGGAACCTCCATCATATACATATTAGTAGTTATCCAACTGAGTTCATCATTTTCATTATTAGCCTCCTCGCAACCTCAGCAAAGAACCCTCCTAAATTCATTTTTCCTAGAATGCTATAAATAAGATGCTAATTCCATTTTACACATACTTGTTAACAACTTCTAACCATGTTAAAATGATATTTATTAAATTTATTTATGTCGTATTGTCATGTTTTTCCTTCTGAATTGTTTATTTCAACTAACTTTATTTGGTGTTCCACTAATTTATATTTAATATATATTACAATCTTATCATCAAATGAGTTCGATCTTTATACATTATATTTTTTTCATAAAAGAAACTAAATTCCCATAAATATGTAAAAATTCTATCAGAACAAAAAAAATGCTTTCACGAGTTAACAAAAGTGATATGGAGCAATTTAGTTATAGTATTCCTTAGGAATAGTAGATTTAGTTTGTTACATATTTCTAGAACCTTCTAGAGATTTCTTTTACTAGCTTATAAGTATAACAATTGTAAGGAAAAAGAAGATAGAATATATTTTTGGAATTTAACAGTTTTTACTATTCCTGAAATTCTTGCTCTTATAAGTTGTGTTTTCTTTAATGTCTCCCTACATCAGTTGGTATCAAAGACAAAAAAGCGATTATGTGAGACCTTGGATGAAGGAAGTAGATTCCAGTAACCATACTAGTTATTCTACTATCCCTGATGGAAACCATACAATCGGACATCTTCCCACATCCACGGCCAACCCGTGGACCGTCTCAGCACACAACACCACCCACGCGACCCACCATCGCCTTTGCCGCCCATGTCCCTGTTTGCAGACACCCTCAACACAATCGCATCGCTCCCGCAACCATCCCAATCCCGCGCCTTCAGCACATCCTTACATGACCGCGGCCCCGCCTTTGCTTTTCCGCACAAGCCCACGCCCACGTAACCCGATTTTGATTCCACTCACGCCCCAACCTCCGCTCCATCATGTCCACTCGACCCCCGCGACTTCACTCCCGTCTCACGCGCGAGTCCAACCAGAGCCCTACTTCCTCTCGTGGCCCACCTTCAAAGCCATCAGCCCTGCTCCCGCACGCTAATTCTTTCAGACAACAGGAGAATGATGCGAAGTATTTTAGTTATAGTATTCCTTATAGTAGATTTAATTTATTACATATTTCTAAAATCTTCCAAAGATTTCTCTTACTAGCTTGAAAGTATAACAACTGTAAGGAAGAAGAAGATGGAATATATTTTTGGAATTTAATAGTTTTTACTTTAATTGATGTTCTTACTCTTAGGAGCTATATTTTCTTTGATGTCTCCATACATCAAAAATAGCTTATTAAGGAGACGCAAATAATACATGAGATAAGTTGAACATTCATGCCATCTATTTCAAAAAAGTGGACTACGAAACACGAACATGATTAGGGATACAACATTAAATGATATCACATATCACGAAATAAGAATATAGCAAAATCTGGGAAATTCAGGATACCCGTAACATGATATATGACAATTATTGCCTTCAAATGATTATGAATTGACTTCAGATATGACAAATATTGCCTTCGTATGCTTATGCATGGACTTGTACATACATAAAATATTACTTGATATGTAAAATTTTTATTTATCTACAAATGCAGGCACACCATTGCGACCACACAAAGATTCATGCAAACGGCATGTATACACCTACAACTGACATGTTCCTCACGTTTACATGTACAAAAAAATAATTTATATTTATATTTATAATACAAATCAAAATATTTTATAGAAACATACTTAAAAACAAAAAAAGTTGGATGAGTAGGAGACTGAAACACCCTCAGCGTTCAAAGTATTGGACCGGGAAGGGCGACCATAAGTAATGGAGAAGCGAAATTTATTCATGTTGAACCGTTTAGTTTTATACAAAGAATATCTTATGTATTCCAAAAGATGTCTGCTGGCCAGTTCAATAACGAACACAGCCTGCTATCATCCAAGATGATTGAGTGAGGTTTTGTAGCATCTCATTCTATCAATGGTAAACCTATTAAAACAATTACAACAATCCACCCTTTTTTAGACATAATTTACCTGTTTTCATTATCTTAGCAAGTTATATAGATGACATGCTACTTATTGCGAGTGATAAAAAAAGGGTTTGTGAAGTGAAACAATATTAAAAAAAAACTTTCTAGCCAAAGTTTTGGGGCATCCGAAATACCTTCTTAAATTGAATTTGTTTGCAACAAAAGTATGTCTTAAACAAATGACACAAATCATATAAAAGAGATTGATCGTACAAGTGATAGACATATCGATACTCCCACAGACACTCAAAAATATTGCTAATGAAGAAGAAATTTTTATCGTAAGTTTGCTAATAAATTGATCTATCTTACTGGCATAAGCCTAATATCTCCTTTGTTTAGGAATTGTCAGTGAATGCAGGCACTCCCAAATAGAAATATTGGAATATTTTTATATCCTAAGGTGTATCCAAAAAGGTCTCCAAGGAAAATTCTACACCAAGAATGGGCACCCAATGGGAAGTTTTCTTGATATTGACTACATTGGATTAATTGATGATAGGACATCAATATCTGGTACTACATATTTGCTTGAAGTAATTTGGTCACATGGAAGGTTAAAAAGAAATAGTGTTGACCAAATCAAGCATTGATTGAGATAAGATATAAAGCCATGATACTACATGAGAAATGATTTTACAACACAGCCCATTGTCTTTAACTATAACAATCTTGTTATTATATACATTATCTATAATGCCATATTCTATGAAAGAATCAAACACATTAAACTTGACTTTTATTTCATTTGGAATGCAATGTTATCCCAAAAAATCATTATTCCTCATACTTCCACCTCAAAACAACTAAAAGGAACATTTACCAAAGTTTTGGTTACACTTTAATATGTTAAATAGTATAGTACACTATAGTACAAAAACAACGACAACATCAAGCCTTTATCACACTATGTGGGGTTGGCTACATGAATCCTTCCTCTCCATTGTATCCAATTAAGAGTCAAATTATCATTTAAATCTAATAAAAAAATGTCATTTCAATCTTCTCAAACCAAATCTTTTTAGGTGTACCTCTGTCTTAACATTGGTCAAATCTGATACATCTATTCCCCTAATCAAGTCATCAGAAGGCAAATGTTTTATGTGTCCAAATCATCTAAGGAGATTCTCTTTAATCTTATCAGTCACGAAGCTACTCCAAACTTTTCATGTATATACTCATTTTGCAATCTGTCTCTAAGAGTGAAGCCACTCAGCCACCTAAGCATCCTCATCTCACTTAACTTAATTTTATGCTTCTCTTTTAATGGCCAACATCCTGCGGCATAAAGCATTACAAGTCTCACCACTATCTTGAGACGGAGTGTTAGCATTATGTTTTGTTAAGCAAAGTTTCTTATTTATAACGAGCAAAATATATTTAGTTTGGTGTCCCTACTGACATCGTATTCATTTCCTTATTATAATTAAGGGACCTTTCAATATTAGATAGGGCATGAAATCCATTTTTCCCTTGACAAATTATTTCTTATTATAATTACATAAATTAAGAATTCTTATAAGAAAGAAGAATTTAAATGGTCAAAAGTCAAATTTTAATGATCATATCTTTAAGGATATATTAAGCAGAGGCTTATAAACATGTGTTTAAACTACCTAATTTTAATTTTGAGGTTTCTTGTCATGTGTTAGGAGTAGATATTGGAAGGGTTGAAATTTTAGCTTGAAGATCAATAATTGGTTTTTTTTTTTTTTTTTGGATCGAGTTCAAATTAAGCCCAACGATCTGATTGATTTTAGAAAAGTTTTGGTTCGATATGATTTTAGAGTCAATTTCAACTAGGATTGATTTTAGAGTCAATTTCAACTAGGATTGATTTTAGATGTAGCGGCTAAAGATCAGCCTAAATATAAATATTATGTATATTTTTAACATGTCGATATGTGTATATTCAAATATAAATATCATAAATATGTATTAATTTATATAAAATAAACTATTAAAAAATAATTGCAAGTTCAGCTTGGTCAAAGTTGCAAGCGATTAAATTCGAGCCAAGTCATCTCAAAACAAAATCAGCTTGAGACATGTAAGCTAGCCTATTTCTAGTTTATCCGATTTTGAGTCGATAATGGAAATACACAAAATCTGGTCATTATCAACCTTAGATATTTGGTGAGGTTTAAGTCAATGAACACATTCAATTGTTTACTTTAGCAAGAAAATGAACGAGACAGAAAATATATTCAAGATATTTTATGCACTTATGTTAGCAATTTTATACTGGATATATTACATACTGCCTAAAGGGTTTATCTTATATTTTAATCATCAAAAATTAAAATATTTGATTTACCAAAAAAAAGGATACATGCATGAGAAATGGTTTTATAAGATGATACACTACAACAACAACAACAACAACATCAAGCCTTTATCCCACTACGTGGGGTCGGCTACATGAATCCTTTTTCTCCATTGTGTCCTATTAAAAGCCAAATTCTCGTTTAAATCTAATAAAGATGATACACTATTGTATTAAAATAGTTTGCTAGGGTTGAAAGCAAGCCCGTTGATGCATGGAGTTGAGTTGCTATGTTTTACATACAATGAATGCTAAAGTGAAAGGTTTTGATAATATTAAAGAAGAATATGCGACACACTTCTGAAAACTTCAATGAAATATATCAAGACTTAGATAATGATTCATCCATGCTTAATGACTTTATGATTACGAATGATTATTTTTAAAAGGACTCATCTATGCATTCCAAATTCATCTTTAAGAATTTTTCTATCCAAGAATTGCAAGTTGGTGATGTAGCGTGATATTTTGATCAGGTAAAGATGCAATAATGACAGAAAAAGATATTAATGGCCAAAATTAATGAAGATATAGCCTGAGTTATTTCACAGAGTATAACTTTTCAAATGACTGAAGAGAAAAGAAACATCATTGGCTAATGCAAATCATTGTTCATTCCTTAAAAAGTCATGAGAAGATGCTAGTATGAACTTTGTGTTAGAATTACCATGCACTTTTAGGAAACATGACTCCATCTTTGTTATGATGGATCATTTTTCTATAAAAACTCATTTCATTCCATATAATAAAATTATTAATCTGTCTAACATAGAAAATGATATTTTAATTATATGACTAACTTGAATGGCTAACCTAAACTCATTATATCTAACAAAGATGTAAAATTCATAAATTATTTTTGAAAAACTCTATGAAAAAAGATGGGAACTAAATTAAAATTTTCAACTATTTATCACCCACAAACTAATGGATAAACATACTACCTACAGCTAAACTTGCATTAAATTCATGGTCAAAAAGTCTACAGATATGCTCCATTTGAAATAGTTCTAAGTTTTTAATAAACAAAACTTATAGATCTTACAGAACTTTCTATTAAGTCCAAGCTTGGTGAATTTCCACAACCATCTTCAGACACATAATTTGCATTAAGATATTAACACAGCACAAATTATTGATTATAACTATTATAAATCTACTATTGATATAATTAATAGATGTAGAATTTAAATTATTTGATAAAATAATAGTATGTTTAAATATAGAGGTCTACATTTTGGTCTATCTAGATAGTTTGGTTTACTTAGCTAAGCTAATTGATTTCGGTTGTAAAATTCAAAAAATCAAACCGACGGACTATTTTCTAAACAAAACTAAATCAAACCAAGCATTGGTTTGGCTAGTTCAATTCAATTTTTGATGAATTCAATTTTTGATGAACCAGAATAAAAATAATTTTAATAGTGCTCCAAGTTATATTTAACTTAAATAACATGTATTGGGAAAAGCAACAATTGATTTTTACCAAAATTTATAATTTCAGCATGTGGATTAAATAATATTAGTAATAATCTTTCTGACACTTGTTTATTTAAAGCTCATGAACTTTTTATTTAATATTTGAAGAAATTAATATAATTTAATTTTTTGTTTGATCAGTTTTATAAAAACAAAAAATTGAACCGATGATCAAAATTTAAAGTCAAAATTACAACCAATAATCAAATTGATACTTTAACAACTGAACCAGACTAACTAATTAAGATGAGTGTGATTTAATATTTAATTGTATCCAAATAATGCACATCCCTATATAAATCCCACTATTGATAATTGATGCTAGAGGTATCTTATACATTGATGTAATAGGCCTACATGTGATTATTCTTGAATTATTCTACAAAAATCGCATCATTCATACACATATTTGCTTAACGACAATCAATTGATCAATTCATCAGAGCTAAATTATTTCAAGTCAAGTTTATTTGATGCAAACATCAAAAGTTTATACACACCAAAAGCACAAAACATGTGCATAAGATGAGTGGATTGATAAATTGAGCATTGCTTATTTTATAGATAGATTTTAGCTCCGATTAGATTTCTATATTGTTCATAAGAATATGTTATAATAATAATCTCTATTGAGAACAAGTTATGTTCTCTAATGATTATGATGATTTGGTCATTTGGGCTACTGTTTTGATCTAATTATTGGCTTGGTTCACCTTTCCTTGACCTATTCGTTGGCAACCAAGTGCTTAAGTCATCTCTTCTACACAAGTTTATCCTAATGAGCTCTCATGAGGCTGTGTTCTGTCCCTTTATATGTACAATCCCAGCTATAATTTTTGTGGCTAGTTTTTACAAAACTTTATTGCCTACTATTTGTGGACTTATTTGCATGTCTCTTTGGTGAAAGGATTTTGGTTGGATTGTGATTGCTACCTTTATTTGAATATTTTATTTGTTATTTGAAGAAAAATTTAAGATTCTAAATATATAAGAACCTAAGGCAAGTGTAAACAGTCAATAAAAATAATGATTACCTGGAGCACCTTTACTTTCTCTTATTGCTTGATTTCCATTTGGATGCAAATCTTTCTAGTGCAGTGCAAGTGGCGACTACTAAATTCTAGTACAGATCATCACCTTGTATTAGCCTGAAGCCTGCATTATAATTTCAGTGATTTCAATCCTTTGTTTTTTAGTATTCTTTAATTATAGTTCATGGTTGTTCTACATGGATTTGCTCAAAATTTGTACAATCCAAAAAAAAAAAATTGTGATATGATTTCCCAATCAATTAGTAGTTTCAATGATCCTAATTTTCCATGTTATATTTATATTTAGGCGGTCATTAAATCATTGTATTAGTGGATTTTATTTTTTTCTAGTTTTTACCAAAATAGATGAATATTTATTTAAATGGTTGGTTGGTAAATTAAAAACTATTTATTTTGTGTGCATGATTTTATGCATTACATCATATTAGTAACATTAGAAAACCCTAGGCCTAACCACATCTTAGATAACTTGCAAAAGCATAGGGATGGTTTTATATAGAAAGATGAACTTTAAACTTGTACAATATCAACAAAATAAAGTTAGTTAAAGCATTTGACTGGGCTTAGTCTATGTTATTTAAACACACTTGATGCCTTATTTAGATACTAAATGATTCTATAGAGATGGAGAGAGAAGTCGATTCTCATTAGTCACCAGAAACCAAATATCTAGGTCTGTGAAAGAAAGTGCTCTCTCAAATAAAATTTTGATGAGGGCACATAAGATGTCTTCCCATGAAGCATATTGATAAAACTAAATTTTGACTTTTGATTAAGTGAATTTTAATAGAAATTATTGTGCTATTTGCTAACAAACATGGGTTACTCATCAAAGACAAACCTTAGAGGACGAAGGACCAAGAGTGCAAATATACCAAGGGATGATCTCCCATCATAAAACTCCAGTTCGTCTTCCTAAAAGAGATCTTATTGGATCAATAGACTGAATGACTCAAAGGCATGAAGCATGGCAAATCATGGTTTAAAAGTTTTAATGAAACAAGAAAACAAAATTGGAATAAAGTATGGAGAATGGATGAATCAAATACTCTTGTTATTTCTTCTTGTATAGCCAACCACAGTTCAACCATTACATATGTGAGGAGGAAACCATGAGAAAAGAGATACAAATGTACAAACTTGAGACTTGATTTGGAAAGCTGAGGAAGGAAACTATATTTACAACAGAGCTTAGATTTCACTCATCCGTGAATTTCATAAATAAAAATCTATATACCTGGGTTGCAAACTTCAATTGCCATTATGGCCGGTTACCATAGTCCCCCTCAATTTGAAGAATAAATATTTAACATTCCTAGATTGCAAGTAATAAATTGAAATATTGAAATAGGTAGTGCTCTGATCAAGACATCATCAAGTTGATATTTGAGAGGATGTAAGGAGTGATGATAAAACCATCGAATGGCTTTTTTCTTAATTAAATATCAGTCAATCTCAATATATTTTGTGCAATCATGTTGGAACATTGTGAGAAATATTGATTGTCAAATTATCATTACAATAAAGTTCCATAGATCCATCAAACTTAGTTTTGAGATCATTAAGTGGGATTTAAGCTATAGGTTTGCATAGATGCCTTACACCATAGCTCTAAACTAAGCTTCAGCACTTGATCTTGCCACCATTGTCTGCATCTTACTTCTCCGTGTAACAAGATGACCTCCAAGAATGAGAAAAGAATCAATTGTTAACTACTAATCATCGATTGATCCAACATAGTAAACATCTATACATATGAACCAAAGTTAAGAGAGCAGACAAACTTCTATTTGTAGTTTACTAAGCCTAATTTCCTTGGCAATGAACATAAAGAGACAAAAATTAAGATAAGGTTTGTGTTCAATAAGTAGCTCATTTTTACATGGAATATTCTTATTATTAATAAGCCAATGCACCAACTTAGAACCCTAACAAGTTTACCCATAAAGTACATCCTATTAAAACTTTTGAAGGTTTGGCCTAATGGTAATTGGATAGCTCAACCTATTTAACACCTCCAGTGACAAGCCTTACTGAAAGTTGAGGGATTTGATGTTTATGGAGTAGACAAACTTTTTACTTTTAGTTAACACGATAAACTCGTTTATGTTATGGCTAAACCTTGAGTGGAAATGTATCAATTTGAAAAGCATTTGGTCATTAGTTCTCTCTGTTCTTTGCCATATACTCTATTTTGAAGTATGACCTCAAGAATTGACCTTACGATATTCATTTTTAAAAATAGCAATGCTTTGCTGTCTGCTAATTAATATGCAATCACTTTTTAAATAGACTTCAAAAAAATTAAGAAACACTCGTTGAGTTTCTCAAGCCTCATACCTTATTAATATATACTTTCAGATAGATATGCATGAAGAAAAACTAGAGAACAAGTTTCAATTAAGACCCTTCTCAGTATAAAGTTTCTATACGTGCATACTGGTTTGATGTACTTCTATGATTTTAAAGCCTAGAATAACTTTATGTTTATAAGGATAACATTGTATACAAGTGAAATGGCTAGTCTTTTTTGTCCAAGACCTATAGTTGTGAGTTTTTAAGCACAAATATACAGGTCGGATTTAGCATGGGGCATGGGCCCCCACTGAGCGCCTAAGTAATACTTATTTAAGATTAATTATGGTTTCCAAAAAAAACTAATTATGGTAATCCTAAATTAAGGGGAAAAAAAGACATTATGTCTTCCACCATTCCACACTTCTTCCTCCGTTCTGCGCTCATCCTCAAAGGCTCAAACCTGCCCTTCCGCCAACGTCGTTCCACACTTCTTCCTTCTATCACTTCCTTCTATTTTTCTGTTCCCAGTAGTGGTCATCCACTCATCGTTGGAAGTCCGGAGTGCGGAGTCCCTCGCTTCTTTCAGCATGGTCTCTCTCTCTCTCTAGAAAAAGAAATCAATTTAATAGACTGCATGGATTCGTATTTCAAAAACAGCTTTACGCCTTTACCTTTTTTTATTATTATTTTTTTTTGGAATTCTCTCTCTCTCTCTAGAAAAAGAGATATGTTTAATAGCCTGCATAGATTCGTATTTCATATACAGCATTATATATTCTTTTGGGGAATATATATATATATATATATATATATGCTTAAAAAGTGAATCATTATACATGCTTATGTCAGAATGGCTACCAATTCACCACCAAAAAAACTATACATATGAGTTGCTAGATAAATTTTCCTCCTGCTAATACATCAACGACAACAACATCAAGCCTTTATCACACTATGTGGGATCGGCTACATAAATCCTTTTTCTCCATTGTGTCATGTTAAGAGTTCAATTCTCATTTAGATCTAATAAAAAAATGTTATTTCTAATAGTTTTCTAACCAAGTCTTTTTAGGTCTATCTCTATAAGTTTTCTTTTGTTTAGTTTAATTTGAAATGTAAGAGTTTGTTCGTCTTTTTCCTCGTCTTTAGACATTTTCGTCCATAGAAGTCTATCGTGTCTTTTGTGATCAGGAGATATAGGCTCCCTATATCTTTTGCTTACATCAAAATCTTATGTGCCACTGGAGCTACTCTAACATTTTCACATATATACTCTTTTCGTATCCTGTCTCTAAGAGTAAAGCCACTCATCCACCTGAGTATCCTCATCTCTGCAACACTTAACTTAATCTTATGCTTCTCTTTTAATGGCCAACATTTTGCACCATAAAGCATTGCAGGTTTAACCACCATCTTATAGAATTTTACCTTAAGTTAGAGTAGCACTTTTCTATCACACAATAAATTTTTCTCCTACTAATAAAAAAAATAAAATGAGAAAGATTATAGTGGAATTTTTTTGCTCTTGATAAATAATTCTATCTAATCAAGCATGAATCTACATATAAATTTTAGATTGAAGCTTCTACACCATTAAATGTAAGTGTCGATTGTGTGTGTTTCTTTTTACATAATGTTTAGCCTTCCGTGTTCATGATGAATAGGAGGATTCTAAAAATCAAGAAAATTTGTGCCCCCACATGAAAAAAATCCTGGCTCTGCCCCTACAAATATATATGATAAACTTAAAATTCATGTTTGATAAGAAGGTATGGAGGTAATAATTATAAAGGATGGTTTTATGAGTTTTATTATGTAATATTAATCATTATTTTAATTAGTTTAAGGATATTTTAGATTAATCAAAGTTGGGGATAGTCCAAAATGTTAATAGCAAATGCATGCTTTAATATTTATTATTGTGTGTATTTTAAATGGTAAAGGTATATTATAAAATGTTTCTTGCGGGTGTCAATTAGTGATAAGACCCAAACATTTGACCTAAAAAATTCGGGTTCAGGTCAACCCGATAAAGAAACTGGTTGGGTTCGGGCCTTATTTTTGGACCCGTTTATAATTTTGGGTTGGGTTCGGTTCAACTCAATAATATGGGATCAACTCGAATTGACCCGTGCCAAACCGCACCCCAGTGTTCATGTGACACAACTCACTACTCACCCCACATTGCTCACACAAACCCGCACCCGCGGCTTTGCCCGCTTGGTCACTCGCACCAGTACTCTCGTGTGATCCTGCCATGCCACTCGCACCCACGCCCTTACTAGTTCAAGTCACAATCACACATCTCACGCTCGTGCTCGCACTCTCACAGGCACGGGTCTGTAGGTCGGTCAGGTCCGGGTCTGAGTTTTTGATCCATTTACAATATTGGGTTGAGTTCGAGTCAGCTGAATTGGATCCATGTTAATTCCGGGTTAGACTCCCGAATACCTATTTTAACACCCCTAATATTTCCAATTCGTTAAAGTGTTAATAAAGTTTAATGGTATTTGAGTTTTGTAGCTCTGGTTGAACTAAAAAGATTTGTTATGATAATGACCAAAAATTGTTATTGTGAACGGACTACCAAATATGGCAGTTATGTTATTCATGAGATGTCATGAGCATGTTCAAGTTTGTGCTTCATGATACTATTTATCTATTAGGCTAACAAATAATGATATACTAGAGAATATTCTAGGAAATTAGTAAAAGACCAAAAATAGTTATTGTGATAAATATACAATTGTTAAGGAAATTTTGTCATCTCAATGGATTGAGATATTTTGTAATAGAGCACAGCATAAAAAATAATATATTATCTCAAAGGGCAAAAATATTATTTCACTATGGACTCAATAACAAAATTCACAATTTTAATTTTAGTAGGGATTTTCTTCTATTCAATATTTGATTAAAGAGGAAACTCAGAGGTACTCAAACTATTCAATGTTGGGTTTTACATTTTTTAATCCGATTTTTGTTGAAGTTGACAAATTTCATTTAGAATGTTTGGGCTTATATTCCAATAACACATGTTGGAGGAAATGTCCGGAAGGTGAGAGCTTACGTGACTGAAAGTCGGCAACAATCTTGAATCCTAGAACTAAGGTAAAGACTAGTGAGGGGTAGTGTCTCAAACTTAAGTCAAACGAAGTGCAAGGAACTTACAAACTACACCTCATGAGGCATAGTCAGTCCGAACTCTGGATTTATAACCCTCCCTAGAAAGGGCTACCAGCTAAACCCAACTAACCGTTTTAAAATCATGTAGTCCGATCTCAATGCGTATGAAGAGTAAAGAAGATTGTTTTTCATGAATTAAATACAACAAAAATACATGAAAAAAAACTAAACCCTAGGTAAACACTACTTAAAGCATACCCAAAATAAAACAATTCCCACCTAATTTCCCCCTCATATGCCTTTTAAAAATACCCCCGGGCCTCACCCCAAAGGGGCGGTATTTACTGCAGGTGGAACTGCATGCGGAACTTCCGCCTGTTGGATATAATTTATGGTCCTATAAGGACCAGCTGGACCGATCCCTCCTGGACTGATCGAACCGGTCTAACATCAATCTACCTCTCGAATAGTAGTTCAATTGTATCTTTATTATTGTTCAAGGAGAAATCAGAAATCAATCCCTATATTTGTGTTCATGCATTTTCTTCTTATCTATTTTACTATTTTTGCTTCCAAGACGCATCATAATGTTAGCATTAGATGTTGAAGAGAAAAAATGTGAGAAGTATGAGTACTGTAAATGGTGATCCCATGTAGTTGGGAACTTAAGTTAAAGTTGACTATGATCATTCCAATAACTATATTAACAAAGATGATAATGGTAATAAATACATTACGGAAAGTATGCGGATGACATTTGTTTACAATAACCTCATAGAAACTAGTGTTTCAGTAGGTAAAACAAAAGAGCAAAAGGAGACCTCTAATGGTGGCTACTGCCTACTGGAACATAAATCTTAAGTAAAGGAGCCAACTAAAACACAGGCAGAGATTACTTAGGACTTCTCTACACTAGAATTAACACTTTACATAGTTATTAAAAGGAATGTATCAAGGAAAATTAAAATTTTGTGCTAAGGCCATAGATGATGAAAATCTATTGCAGTCCATAATGACCATTCAATAGATCATCTAACACTTCTATAGAAGTTGAATAGAAAATCTAGTTTCCTATGTTGGAAAAGAAACTTCCAAACCCTGAAACACGCATTGAATAGAAAAGTGTTATAGCAACTAAGAGCTTAAAGCAAAAACATGAATGCACGTTCAATACTCAGAAAAAAAAAATGCAAGGCAACATGATTACTAAACATATTTACCTGTTCGAGCGAAAAACCTCAAGTTCATATTCTGATTTACTCTTAGTTGCTTCAAGTAACGTGTTAACAATTTCTGTTTTTCGGGTGCTCGCCATAAGACAATCATACTCACTTGGGATAACAATAGCAAAAAAGTCATCATTCAGCTCACTCATGCATAACTTATCAACAGCTGCAAGTGCTATCCGTCTTTTCAGAACATCAGAATCAGGGTCAATGATGTAGATAGCTAAGTCTGTTATTAATAAAATGCGGCGTTTAATCTTCCCTGTTCCGGTGAATCTTAAAACCTTGTCAGCAAATAAAACCTTTCCATCACCTGCAAAAACCGATACTTGTTTACAGGCAGAGGAAGGATCAAGGGAAAAACGAAAGCATTTCTTTCCAATTCATATAACACCAAAAGCACCAACAAAATAGCTCCTGGACAAGACTTTTCTAAGATGTTCTCTTTCCATCTATAGCTTGGGAACTGGAAACCATGCTTATGAGAGAAAAAGGCAAATTCAAGGTGATATGGTAAACTACCATCCCAATTAAGGCCGATGCTATGGTAAACTAACATCTACGTAGGCATTAGCGCAGCCTATGGGCTTTTTACAATGAAATAAGTAACAAATAATGAGTTCTGAAGCTCTTATATGGAGATCGTTGCGTGATTAGGAATGCTAGAATACCTAACACCAGCAACAGCATGAATTGCCTATTAATATTGAGGAAAACCGAAACACAATGGAGAAGAGACAATACACACCATACCTTGTTTTCTTAGTATCCTTGAAAGATAAGGATCGGATGGCACGTCAATGTAATCCCCATTGCACTCCCTAAGCAAGTTAGCTCGCCTTCGCACTTTCATCCCCATGAAGGGCAAAGGTTTATCCGTCTTTTTCGCTTGTTGGGGCGGTGATGACTCTCCCCCTGCTGCGCTCCCATTCGAATCCACTCCGACTATTTCCGGCGGCTCCTCAACGACTTCCCGACTGTCGTCGATGTTTCCTGAAGGCTGATCTGCTTGCGCTCTCCTCCGAGTCACGAATCGATCCATCGACCTGAAGGGGCTGTTTGGATACAGTATTTATGCAGGATTTATGCTAAATCCTGCTAAATAAGATTTAGGGAACTTTTAAATCTGACGGCGAGTTAAATTCTATGCCTTTTTCCGTAAATCCCGGATTTACTAAGGGCATCTCCAACCGGAACTCTCATTTTTCACTGCAAAATGCAAAATACAGCAAAATCAAAAAGTGTCTTGATTCATCTCTAGTGGAACTCCATTTTGCCTCAAAATCATCGTCGTTTCTTTCGCGCCTTTCTTAGATGGAGTTCAGTAGAGTGAAAGAAATAGAGAAAGTGAACAGTGAGCGACTGAATGCCAGCAAAATGGGAGTTCGGTTGGCACGTCTGAGGCTCTCCATTCGCGTTTTTGCCGAACAGCTGGAGAAGGCCTAAATCCGAAAGTTCGGCAGATTTATGGGATTGGCAGAAAAAGCGCGCCAAAGGATGAAATTGGCTAGCTTCGTAATGAGCAAGCTCCCGTCGTCTTCGTTACTTCAAATCCAACATACGAACGATGAAGAAGGCGTGACCTCGGATCCGACAACAAGGAACGTCGTCGAGGAGGCGAAGAATTTATTTAGCGTCTTGTTCAAAACTTACCCCAGCAGACTAATATCAAATATTTGGGCATCCTAATTGTCACTAAGATTTTATTCGGCACAATTTTCTTATTGACATCTAGAAATTTTTTGAACTAAAATTTTATGTAGTAGGAAGCTACTTTAAAAGCAATAAAAATGACGTCTCAAAAGAAGCCTAAGAGAGATTTGATTAATGATTTCCAACCTCTCATAAACAAAGTCACCTCTATTCTTGACAATTGGAAAGAAAAAACTCTCTTTAGCTTGCAAGTTTCAATTCCCCAAATTCAAATTATGGAATTTCATAGCTTTTTTATTAGAGGGGCTTCTATACCCAAGTGTTGTTTGAAACCTCTTAATAAGCTTTGTGCCAATTTTTTATTGCATTGTGACATTTTGATGAGAAATCTTTTCATTAACTTATTTCTTTCAGTGATCTCTGAGCACACGTGATTGGTTTGTAGCAAAATTATAGTGCAAAATTTTAGTATATTTCTCCATCTATATATTTAAGTTTAGTAATGTTATATATTTGATTATTTAGATTTGAATATATTGTTCATAGTTGAAACACTCAACCCATAACAACATTAAATTTCACATAATTACTAGCTACGAATATGGTAGAATTTTCATTGAACATTGTAATCAGGAAGGTTCAAATCATGTTCAAATAATATTTTAATATAATTCATAGAGGGTTTGAACATGATTCAAATATGATTTAAATAATATTAAAAAAATATTCTCCAGTATAGTTTAACTTAGATAAACCAATGTTGAAGAGGTTATGTTAGAATTGGCTATTATGGTTAGGTTAGTTTAGAGGTCTTAATTAGCTAATTCTATCTAGGCCTAGATGCGGAACAACCTCTCTCACTACTTCTAACCTGTTAAGATGTGTGAGATCAATGGTTAAGGTCAATTGGATTAATTAGTCCAAAATGGTCAATTGAGTAAAGGTTTTAAGGGTTTTGGGGTTAAGATGACACCTTGAGATTCAGCATTCAGTTTTAACATGTTCTAACTTGATTCAAAAGATGTGATTGCTTGAATCTTTGTATTTTGGACCCTTATGCATGCGTCTGAGAGTATTTTGTTATGTTGCACCGATACACCTATTTATGAAGGCGTGTTGTATCTGATACACCGATACACGGATACACCTCCGATACGGCACCGGTACGTGTCGGATACGGCTTTGCCGTATCCAATTAAAATACTATTTAATTTCAAAAGGATATGCATATCCGAGTGTCTGAGAGTATTCTGATAAGGTTAATTAAGAGAGATCCAAGCTCCCTTGGCCGTGTTTTGGGTCAAGGGGAGACTTGGGTTGTTTAAATGTCATATGTGTCAAGTATTTGACCTAAATAGGTCAATTTTGATCAAATCAAGGTTGGGTTGAACAAGTCAAGTGTTGACTAGGTTAAATCAAGCCCAAATGAATTAGGAATTAAGCTCAAGCGGATTTGAAATTGATTTAAATTCAAATAAGGGTGATTTGGAATGGTCTGGTCAACCAGGTTGACCCATGACCTAGATCTGGGCTCAACAAGTTTGGCTTGACTCACTGAACACAATGGAAGGGTCTTAGGGTCTAGCTTGGTCAATTTGAACAAGTCAACCCTCTTGACCCTAGTGTAGTGAAAAGCAAGGTCAACAAACCCTTCAAATGTGTGTCAATAAAATATTCTGCTAAGAAAATGATATTTCAACATTCACATCCAGACAATATCGACTCCCAATAACTAAACTCATATCATATCAGATAGCTTTTGAATTATTAACAATATTCTCACCAATCTCAATCATTTAAGGTCCTTAGATTCTCTTCTTAAAGTCATGAAGATCCTACATTTCATCTTGACATCATATTAATTATCACCACCCTATTGCCACTTGAAACTTGAAAGAAGTTATGCGTCCATTTCTCATCTAAAGTTGTGGATGTAATTTAAAGGTTTCTTAGAATATCATGACATCTCCCTGTTGTAGAACTTTGACACTTTTAAGGATAACGTAATCACTAGGGGCTCCACGCCTATCAATAATATGCTTCCTAATGGACGGCATGTTCCACTATTTCTATTATTCCCATAATCTATTGTTTATGGTTCTCTAATTATTATCATGCCAAACTAACCAAATGCCTATGAATATAGCATCCATGGGCCTTCTTCAAGGTGCACGAGTTAAATTTATATAAATACTCAGCTGTATTGTAGAGAGAGAGAGAGAGCGAGAGAGAGAGCCCTTGTAATCTTTTTTTTTTTTTTGTTTTAGTTTTAAATCTTTTTTTTTTTTTTGTTCTTTAGTTAGCGGAGTTATTTTCCCCTCGCTTTATAATGAATAGAGGCGTGATTGACCACACTAGTTAAAGCCCATTATGTGATATGCCTTCACTATACTTTCTCTGTTCTTTTCTTTTTTCTTCCTTTCTCTTCAACTTCCAAATTGCCTCTTTGCCTCTAACGACCAAACATCTCCTTTTACTCCCTCCTGTGAACCTGTTAGGACTTGAGTCCACTCGATAATTGACATCTCCAAATAACTTATCATCATTCATAACTAGTAACAATATAGGGCCAAAATCACAATAAATAAGATGTCGAAAAGAGTTGCAATCTCCACCAAACAAAAATAGAACATCCAATAACTATCAATATATATATGAAAAAATTTCCACATAAAAAAGGAAATTTGAGTTTATATGCTCAATAATGCTCAAAATTGGATAAAGGTGCTTGTTATTTCATTTGTTAGAGAAATAAGCTCAAAAGTTCTCGGAGGAATAAAATGCTTCCACACATGGCAACAAACTACGTTAGCAAGCCTAACCCGACTGAAATTATTTTGAATAACAATCGAATAATGTTCAAATAAATATCAATCAAGGTTGAGATCATGCATGATCAAAAATCGATTCATAATTGAATATTATTTGAATCTTAATCAAATATTTGTCATTGTTATTTGAAAAAAAAAAAGGTTTGAACATGGTTCAAATAAGGTTCAAATATGATTCAAATGACATTCTAATACACTTCAAATGAGATAATATTAAAAAATTATAACATACTTGAATTTCACATTTAAATATTATTCATTTAATATTTTATATAACGTAATAAATTCAAATGATGATCATAGCCGACAACACATGTAATTCAATCAAAATATGAGTCCAATAATGTTCGGACATGGTAGATACAGCTGATAATGATCACAGCATGCATAATGGAGTGAAAATAACAATCACTATATTATTGTGCAACCATTGGTTTAGTAATGGTTTTTTAAGAATCATAACTAATCAATACAAGAAAGCAATCGTGTCGCGGCAAACACTTGACCTTACAAATAACTTGACTATGACATTTAACTCTATATCGGCTACACCTAAATTGTATCGCATCCTTCTTCTCTTTAAAAGCCTTCTATTTTTCTATGGATGAACACTCCTAGGCTTCACTAATGAGGGTGATCCAATAGCTTTTTAATTTTATCTAGAACCTCCAAGGTATCTTCTTTTTCGATGGGATATATATTTTTAATGTACGCAGCTAATCATGCTTATTCTATAAGGAATTTTGAACATAAGTTATTATAATTAACATCTTAGTCCCAAGCTTGAGCCAAGGTATATTTGCATAGCAAATGCATGATAGTACATCAAAAATTTTATATGTATATTTTCTCTATTGCAAATTAAATGTCACTATTAAGGTCACCATCATGAATATGCAATTCAAATTAATTAATGGGATATACAATCATGTTTTGAGACTTATTTAGGAGTTTACCCAATACATTTTTAATTCCTTAGCTTTTTTTTTCTTTTTGCAATTTTACATATATAAACAAATATTACATTGCGCAGCTAAAATTTTTTTACAATGTTGTAACTAGATAAGAGCATATGCACTCCTGGTAATATTGTTGAAGCTCTCAAAAATACTAATTATCAAGTTATAATAATTTTTGGAGAAAAAGTATGAGCTCATTGCTCAAAGACAACTTCATTCTCAAAATAAGTTGCTACGGTTGAATTCTTAACACGTATTTTGTTAAACAGGTTAGAGAACTCAACTCTTTTATCTACCTTGCAAACCAAGTGATACTCCTCATGACAACTATTGACTTTGAACTTCATTATGATGTTCATTGTCACATGATAGGTGCAAGCTCTTTGGTGTGCCTCATAAAAAAAAAGAAAAGGTTAACAATGCATTGGTGATATTTTTATGTTTGTTAGAGACAAACACCAATTTCTCACTATGCCTATTAACTCCCTTAACTTTATCATGAATTACAACCATGACTCATTTGAGTCAACAATTGCAAATGCTATAGTATAAATTTAAGTATTGGCATGTTACACCATTGCCACAATTAAAGTTCCTCCACAACATGTACTCAAGAATGTTTCATCCATAATTAACACCAAAGAGAAATGTGATTATTTAAAATGTTCATCACCTATATTGTTAGAGATTAATAATTATCCCTTTTTTGTATAATATAACCATATATTATGGTGGCTTTTGAATGAATGCTTTGGGGGATCCTTTCATAAGGTTCCCCTTTCATATGATGACAGCTTTCTCATGACACCACCAAGCATTCTATTAAGGTAAATCAATGATATAGTCTCACTTAACGTCTGATATAACCATCACTAGCTTCATATTAGGGTTAAATGCTACGCATTTATCTTTGATCATTTGTCCAATAAGCCATAGTTGAGCTTGATATTGGTATTTAGATTTTATATCACATGTATAAAGTATGCTATGATAAAAGGCTTGTTATCTTGAACATATTTAAATTTGTAAGTTTTTTTGCTCGCAAGTTCATGAGTATATGTTTGAAGAGAAATAGATGAATTATAATTCTTTATCTTATTTCCTCACATTAAATTAAAAGTTTGTTTTATGGAATATACATATAACATTCATTTAAACTATTCTTTGTTATCAACTAATCGTGCAACACGTAATTCAATCAGAGATAAACTCAAGTGGGATGCTAAGAAATTATCAATCATTATATTCGAGATATTTTATACACTAACCTTATAAGCTTGGAGTTATCAATGTATTCCTCACATTGAATTATTGTATTCAGCCTTAGGTCCCCAACATATTGAATAAATGAGAAGACCTTAGCCATTTGCTACCTTCAAGAATATTATAGATTGAGGTTTGACATATCTTATAGACACTTAGGATATAAAGCATCCATTTTATCAAAAATAACTGCAGTGTGTACATCCATATTATCACCAATTCCTTACATTTGTAATGTCCACGTCATTATCAATTTTAGATTAAAAATGTCACTTATCAACATTTGCTGCTTACATATAGGATTAATGTGATAGCTAAAGGAAATATTTATATATATCTTCATTCATTTGCCCCATTTTTCAATGAATATCTAATCATCTTGCATTCATTTTTTCATTCTTCTCCATATAATAAAATGTTGATGCATGATGCATATAAAAAGATTTTAATAGTTTAAAACCCCATTGTTCTTTGAATATAGATAAAATTTAATTTAATCTTGTATGAACAAGTTCAAACATTGATCAAGCATGATAGAATAATGATTGAAACATGATTGAAAAATACTAAATATTAAATCGAATTCAAAAGGCATGATTGTATTTGACTTAAACCTAATTCAAACATCTATTTATTCAGGACATGATAACATATTCTTCTTCATCAAAAGATGATCGAACAATACTCAAATAAAGATCAAATAACATAGTATTTAATATATTAAAACATGTTCAAGAATAACATTTGAAAGAATGTTCATGCAAGTGTCCACTCTATGATTCTCTATCTAGCTTTACATTACAATCTTTGTCAAAATGATCAAATCTACACTATACGATGAGAACAATTTAAAATACTCATATATGTTTATAGCACCAATGAGTGAATAATCTCCGTAGGAAAAATTATTATGTGCGGATACTGGATGGCATATGGAGATTAATAATAACGCGCCACATCTCTTTTTTGCTCGGTACCGATGTGTACCAGATGACGCGGCACATTCTTGTTGGTCTCCAGACTATTGGTGTCCGCACATAATAATTTCTCCCTCCGTAGCAAAGAAATTCAGATGAAGATAAGATGATGGCTACAATATTAAAAGAAATAAAGCTGAAGTAAAAAGAATGAGATGCTTTTCCACATTTACAATGGGATATAAGTATAACAAGAACATTTTTGTCTTTTGAAAAAAAAAATAAACATATTTTTCTAAAAAAAAGAAGTAATCAGGATATATTTTCAATTTAGAACATCATAAAACATTTTACTTAAAAATTTCAAAATAAATACCTATCTAAAAGGATTAATTATTTTGTGTGGACTCCGAACGTCATTCGGAGACCAACCAAAATGCGCCATGTCACCATGTGCTCGGTAACATAGCTCGGTACCACTGATGTGACGCATTTTGATTGATGTCCTGATGACGTTCTACGTCCAATTTCGAGATATAAAAAATTGAGAATGACACCGACAGCAATAAATCTTTAGTTAATGCGTTTTCCTATTCAATATTTTTAATAAATTTAATTTTAAATTTTTTAATTATAAATTCTGGAGTCCACTAATAGTGGATCAGCGGATATAATTATTATTTTTTAGGGGAAAACGTATACAATTATTCATTTTCAACCACTTTAAAAAGTCGTCCGTCTAATCAATCCAACGATAGCCGTCCGATCTCGATCTTCTGGTCACAATTAAACCAGGCCTCCGCCGATCGGCTTTGAACGATCCATCCATTCACGAGGAAACCTCGCCGTCCGTTCCCGCAAAACTTATCTCTTTCTCGATCAGCACCGTCAATCATTCCCCCCGTCTAATCCACGCCCTACGTTTCCATCAAGAACCCAGTCCCCATCGGCCCATCTCCGCTATTACGAATTGGCCTTCGCAATGTGATCCTTTATATCCTGCCAGCCACAATGTTCAAAATAAACTATAAAGAAAGCTCCGCTTCCTCTTTTTCTCGCCAGCTCCCTCTCCCAACAGCATCTCTGAGGAGGCTCCTACTGGAATTCGTGAGTTGCACGTCTACTTCTCTCTCTCTCTCGATCTCGACCCTTGTTTTCTGTTTAATTCTTCTGGTGTTCTTAAAAACATCAGTCAGCCCTATCTCGGTTCAGATTGATCGGTGATTTTGAAGGATTAAGTGATCGCCGATGGCTTCGAAGAGGATCGTGAAGGAGTTGAAGGATCTACAGAAGGATCCACCGACCTCTTGCAGCGCAGGTAATTAGATCACTTGCTCGCTTTATGTTTGTTTCATTACCACAGATCCTATAGGAGGTCAGTGCTTGTGCGAGTTAGATCTGGATCTCGGTGCTTTTTTGTGTTTTGGAGATGCGAATCTCTTGGTCGAGATTGCAAGTTATAATTTTTGCAGGAAATTTTTGATTTTTGGAAGGTACTTGAGCTTGATATGGTTAACCTGATACCTTTTTTTTCCTCGTCGGTTGTTGTTCTGAGACTTGCATGCTACAATCTTTCTATTCAAGTAAGGGGGATAACGTGAGCGACTTGATTGTCATTATAGGACATAAGAAGGTAAACAGCCGCAGGAATAGTCCTAGATGGCTAGGTTCTGCGGTGTCTGGCTGTCTTGCTTCATAAAGTACTCGAAAACGCTTAAGTAGTCAAAGTCTTATATTCTGGTTAAAGCTATCCAGTATGTGAAGGTGTACGTGAACACTATTGCTTTGCTGGATGTAATTCTAATTTATGATTGTTCCATGTATTGGGGGCTTGTGCCATATTAATATATATTTTCTTGTGCTGATGGTGATCTATGTTCGTTAGTGTCGTTAGGGTTACCTTAGATTAAGCTGGTACACTAAGTTTGTACAAATCGCAGGGAACCATTACTGTGCACATTTTGACCCTTTTTTTGTTGTTTGGAGCTTATTTTGAACAGCAGGTTTGAATGAATTATGCATCTTGGAGTTGCCTGAAATTCATTAAACAAGGATGTGTTCTTTGTTATTTTTTAATATCTGCTTGGGCTTGATTATGTATTTTGTTCAAGTATGCTGGAATTTATGGGTTAGCCTGTATTTGTTGATGATAAAGTTTTGCATTTTATATTATTTTTGGTTCATTTGGTGAGTCTTCTTGCATGATTGCATTTCCACCTTGTGTCGATTTCTCAATTATTCAAACTATTTATTGATGTGAAAAATATGCATTGCATGCAAGTTGTGACCTTGACTGATGTGCAAGGATTTAGGGTGTATCATTAACATATATACCAACTTTTCTGATTCACCTTGCATGACTTGTTTGGTCGGTGGAAACTGTGTGGTTTCTGAAGTCATGCTGAATGTTAAGTTCTCTTTTAGTTACATTATTCCGGCTTGTATTACCAAGTACGCCACACATATTAGGCTTGCTGGTCTTATGCTGTTGTATTGGAAAGTCATGTTCTTGATATTGCCAAGATGATATATAATCATTATTAACATTTCTTGTTTACAAGAAGATAATTCAATTGAAGCTACCGAATTTATTTTATTTTGAAATTATATATGTGCTTTTTTCTGGTGTGATTAAATTTTTGGGAACATTTTGGTGCGTTCTTGAATCATTTTACATTCGTATTATTGAGTAGATTTTTATTTGAATTGTTTGGACCTTATGCAGTTAATCATTAGGTTATCATCAAATTATCATGATAATACATATTAATTTGTTCCAAGTGGTGGTAGATGCAGTAATTCGTATGAAGATAATACTGTTGAGTTTGGTTTATCAAGTAATATGAAAGTTTACTTAAATATTATAGTGTTTTTGTTATTTCTTGTTAGTTTCAATTGAATGCTGAGAATTAATCAAATGAGAGGTGATCATGAGCGATAAAATAACAATATGACAAGCATATGAATGCAATCATAGGTGGTTTAGTGCCTTTCTCTTAAGGCGCTAGAGTGATAGTGGATTGGCTGAACTATGTGTGAAGGAGATGCTTGAAAGTGCACTTAGGTTTTACTTTTCCACGGAGGGGGATTGTCTACAAGAGAGAATTGAAAGGAGCATACAACCTCACAGTGTATGATGACAGAAAGGTATTGACCTTATAATCCACAAAGAGATTGCCCTTTGTGTGGAAGAGGGTAAACAACTCTACAATAATCATGAAAGGGAGAGCAGAAGGAATTGACCGAAGAAACAAGCTTACATTTTCTCAACAATTAGAAGGAGAAGGCCATGTTAGACTTATGATACCCTCAAAGGGTATATGCCATGACTAGATAAGAAAGCATAGTTTATGACTCCACAACCATCAGAGGATACTTCATAGATCTTATTTCACCACTCAAAATGCAAGCCCACCTAAATCTAATGCAGTTAATGGGGATATGTGAGATTAATCATCTACTTGCTAGGAAGATGTTCACTACCCAAATCATGAGAGATTGGGAAGTTAGACAATAGTTCTTGACAAGGAATTTCTCTAAATTCCATCAACACAAGTTCTAAAGCCATCTCATTTAAGTCTCAATTTTTTACAACATAGGTTAGATTGATAGGTTGGAAATAGGTCTTACAAACTCACTCAAAGTATGTCTTAGGATTTTCAAAAATTGGTGCCCAAAGAGAATGGAGTAAAATTTGAAATGGATAAGATGAATGATTTTATTGTTATGACATAAAACAACATTAGATAAAGCGGTGACTCACTCACCTAAAACTATGGGTACTTGCTCACCTAAAAAAATAAGGAATCACTCACCAGTTATATTGGGACTTACTCGAATAGGTGGAATCCCTTACACCCTCATTCTTATGCTATTAATGAATCCTTATGATATATATGTCTATTTAATGTCTAAAAAACTAAACTCTTAGTTTATTAAGTGATATGGTTGGTGGTTGGTAGGTGATGTTTGCTAAGGATAATTAATTTTTAATGGACAGTTTATCGTTCTCATCTTCATGGAAGAAATTCGGCCTCAAATGTGATATTTGATGAAGCAACTTCCATATCATTATTGATCAATGTCTTTTGGAATTTGTCATGCTATGTTTAGAAAGGTAGAGGTAGAACTAAACAGACTTGGTTAGAAAATATTAGAAGTGTCCTTTTTTATTAGATCTAAATGAGAATTAGACTCTTAACCAGACACAATGGAGAAAAATGATTCATGTAGCCGATCCCACAAGTGGTATAAAGGCTTGATGTTGTTGTTGTTGTAATGTCTTTTAGAATTTCTCTAGCCTAGATATGGTGAAAATCCACTTTGATACCAATTTAATGTAGCCTAAAAGAAATGAAGTAAGATTGAAATTAGATAGGAGGAAGAATTTCATCGCTATAAAAGAAAAATTACATGAGATAAGTAGGGATTCAAGTGCCCAAAATTACGTGAAGTCACGCATTGCATTTGGGAAACCACTGACCTAAGGGAACTCACTTACAATTACATTGGGGATTTACTTACCCAAAAAAATATGATCTCTCGCTCTCATATTATTAAGCTCTAAAACCCCTCCATATCCATGCCTTCTTATAACCTAAAAATATACTCTTAGCTAATTAAATGAAATGGTTTCTAGGGGGTTGGTGGTTGTTGGGAATTATAATTTAATAAGATGTTTGGTATTCAATGGATATTTCGTCAAAGTCAGCATGCCAATTTCCACGACATATACATATGAACTGGCCATACCTACATGAAGCTTCTATCAAAGAGTGATCTAAAAATGGGTTAATTTACATAAACCCCATCATTGTGGAGAGACGCTATGTAAGTTTACTGTTGCTTGTAAAATGCCATTTTTAATCGCAATTTTGCTTGTCATGCTTTATGAGAAGCTCAATTTTTTGTTTTCTCTAGTGCTTTTAACGCATTAGTACTACCAAATTACCACAAATCTATTGATCTTGGTTACTTTGACAACTAATTATTGAGTTTACGTTTTACCTTTTATTTATTTCCATTACACCTATATATGATTTGCATGCAAAATCATCAGGTCCTGTGGCTGAAGACATGTTTCACTGGCAAGCAACAATAATGGGTCCACCAGACAGCCCATATGCCGGAGGTGTCTTTCTAGTTACCATTCATTTCCCCCCAGATTACCCTTTTAAACCACCTAAGGTATGTTGGTACAACATTTCTTGAAAAGCTATACGTAAAAGGCTTGTTAAATGCCGTGTTTGTAAAATGTAATTTTTCCTGTTGTATATGATGTCCTGGACAATTTAAGCGTCTGTTGTATTTGTTATCTACTTAGCCATTGCTTATTATCATAGAAATAGATAATAACTTATTTTGATATTTACTTGTCTAAAGAAATTAATAGTTTACTTTTTATAATGCTTTAAATTTATGCTTCTAGTGTTTGAATTGACTTGACATTTGTAAGGTGATGCAGGACTAATTAGATACGATGAATATGTAGTTATTTAGGCATTGCACAACTCTTAGATTAGAATAGTTCCAGGAAACAATTACTTAGCAATTCTCAACGAAGATTTAAAACCCATTAGGAAATGATTTGCTTAAGTGAGATTACATGCTCTAAAGCATCTATCACTTTTCTGGTAACCATCACCATATATGAGATCCGTACTTGTTCTTTCTCTTCATCGTTTTATCTATAGTGTAAGAATTCCGCTATAGGAGAGAAGAGATTCCATATTTGCAGATTTTTCTTGTTATATTCATGGTTTGTCTAAAATGGCTGAGGTAAGGATCAATCTTTTTGATTAGACATACGATTCAGATAAATTATTTAAAAGGAGCACTCTTTTAGCTTTCCAGAGTATGTATTTTATTAAAACAAGGTTAACTTGATTTCTTAAATATTTTAGCAAAGTGTTGCGGTGTATTTGAATATTTTTTTAGGCTTAAACAATTAGCAGCCAAGCATTATTTGTCTTCTTATAGTATCAGTCTATTTAATCAATGTTCTCAGGTAAAAAATTAAGCGTGAGTAAAGCTATAATTTTCAAAATATATGGATCTAGCTTATTACAGAGCTTTTGAGTTTGAAGAAAATTATGGCTATCCTCCTAGTAGTGCTGATGCACCTTTTCTTTATACTTTTTAATGAAAAAGTTTTTCTCCCCTAACCTGGAAGACATATTTTTAAGGATAATATCACTAATTGCTGAATTTGATTATGTTGAAGAAATTATAGTTTATGAATATTCTTTATAATTTGAATTAGACGTCAACAAAAATTTATTGTTAATTAAGTAATGATTCTATGTTTAGTTTTTTTAAATCTGATTTCACACTAAAACCTACTCAAGAATATGCACCAGAGTTTACTCAATAACATTTTGATGAACCTGAAAAACTCGGCACGACTGAGGCTTCGATTGATTGGGAGTTTTTGGTGCTTATTCCGTTTTAAAACGACAAATTTATTTCTTCTTTACTGTTTGGTTCGTCAAATCACGTTCCCAATAACTTATTTTTCTTCATTTTTCTGCTGTTTTGAGAAAGTTTATATATATGCTTATCCGTCAGAAAACTCCATTTTTTAAATCAATATTTTTCAAAACTATCTTTTACAAAAGTAGGAAATAACCAAACAAAGCCTGAAAGCATGAATTTGAAATTGAATATGAGATTATATCTAAACTTAAACTTGAATTAAATTCTAAATCCATCCTTGAATTTAATTTTGAAGTAAGCTTACTTTTTGAAAAATTAATTGGATAATCTGATTATACAAATCTTGTTGAATTATCTTTTGAAATGATCTTTCCATTTTTTTATCAAACTAATATTATTATTTTTAGTTTCCTAGGTTCTTGGTTTACCAGTTCATTAAAAGAAATGATTGAGAAAGTCAAATTAACTACGTCAACACATCCCATAGATTAGGCCATGATTATTGCCTTCAAGAAAACCTGTGATTAGAAAGACATTTGTTTGGTTGAGTCCTACGTTCTATTATTCATGCTTTATTTTTAAGTCATTTGAAGTATTTTTGATTTAGAAAGTTTGTTTGTTCATCTAATGTACATTTCATATTGGTTATTAAAAAAATATTATTGGAATCAAATTTTTTATAAATATAAGGTTTATTGTTTTTCTATCCTTTTGGAGTTATTTATAAGGTTTTCCATTAGAATGCATATAAGAATTTCTTCAAAACTCCTATCTACATTACATTTTATTGTATTGTTTTAATTTTACTCATTTGTATAATGTATATGAAGATATTAATTTCCAAACTAGCTGTTAATAAATGCAATTTTAAGACTCTACATTTCAAAAGGAATAGGAGATGTGAAAGATTTGCTTTCGTGACATATAAGAATTAACTAAAAAATTGGATATATAATATGCAATAAGTTGAGATGCATGCATGTATTTTGAAAATTAGAAAATTACGATATTAATCTAGTTTTAATGTATATTATTTGATTTTGTCATGAACTATTAAGCAGTACTTTGGATTTGTCTCCCTTTCTTTTTGGGTTTGAGATGAATGACACGTGATCCTAAATTTTTGGAAGAAGGCCTTAGATATTGGATTTATGATGATTTTTTTGATAGAAACCTTAGATCTAACATCTGATATTTATTTGTCTCCCTTTCATTTTAAGTATATATATTTAAAATTAATAATTTATGCCCATCAAAATTTTCATGTTTGTTTGAGACATTGCATGTTAGATTGGCATTAAAAAGCCTAAACCCAAAAAGTCTTATGGCTATGTTGTTAGAGGAAGTCGAAAAATGTTGTCACGGAGTGGAAGGGAAAGAGTGTGTTAGTTTTGTGTGGAATTTGATTTTGTTGATCAATTGGGTTGTATTGTTGCAACGGACCTCAACTCAGTTTATCGTGTTCGCTGGGGGGTGCCCCCTCCCCCTGCAGAGCACTCGAAATTGTTTTTACCTAAAACTCCTCGGTGCTGTGTACCTGAGCGCCCCGATGTTGCAAAGTTTGCTGGGAGAAACAACAGAGAGAAGAGCGCCGCAATGCTGTATTCTCGGCTCTGCAGCGCTATCGGATGGATCAAATGATAGAGGTTGAGCGCCACAGCGCTTCTAGGTAGACTAAACAATTTTCTTTTCATTTTTCTTAAGGTTGGTATCCCTTGGTGTTATTAACTTGACTTTTTCTTTTATTTTTGTGTGAGAATGGTGTTAAGTAAGAAGAGAAGCAAGAGAGAAGAGAGATTTATACTTATTTCTCCTAATTTTCATAGTGGATTTCTTGGTGTGGCGTGGCTCCGTGGTTTTTTCTCGATTTCAAAAATTTTCATATTAAATCCTAATGTCCTATACTTTCCGCTGCTTTTTCTATTTTTCTTGTTTTTTTTGTTGCGTTGTTTTACTTCCATCACCAATAGAGAGCTAGGGCCATGTATACTGATAATCTCTTGATTTGGTTAGCCTTTATGTACAAGAATGTATGTTCAAGGCTTGGTTTGGTTGTTGGACTGTACAAAATGAAAGTTACTTTGCTCATATACAAAATTGATTAGCTTAAGTTATAGGGCGGTGCACATTAGAAGGCATGGACTTTATGCAGTTCTCACAGAAATCAAAACTATGGAGACAGGTTTTTGAAAAGTAACACTTTAAATCTAAAGAAATCCTATAAGAGTTGATCTTACAGTCAGTGGTTAAGTTTAAATCAGAATGATAATTATGTCAATTGTCGTGTACTTTTTCTTTTCTTTCAGATATGTTAGATTTATTTCTGGCCAAGAATGTTCTCTGCTCTAATAGGTATGAATTGGTACTGTCATGTACTCACGATATATGATTTTTGAGTGGTGATTGTGGACAAGCTGGTTGATTGGTTAATCATTTGCAGTTATTAAACTCTTTCATTATCTTTGAGGCAGTTGTAATTTTAGATGAATTCAGCTTTATTTAAGGAAGAAAAATTCAGTCCATGGAATGAATAAGAAAGTATAATGCCTTCCCTAGCTAGTTGTTGTTAGGCTAATGACGTTGATGATGATCCATACTTGATGACAGTAGTTTAAAGTTTAAACCATCCATTAGATGCTCTTCATTAGGAACTTTTAACTGGTCAGACAGTAGTTTAAAGTTTAAACCTTTCATTAGATGCTCTTCATTAGGAACTTTTAACTGGTCAACAGCGGCGAAAAGGTTACGAGATTGCAAGTTGGACATCTTTTTATTCCCAAGTACTTCCAATCTGGATTAAATAAAGATTTCCAATCGTGCAATAAATTACATCGTGGCTGGAAGCCTAAAGTACAAGTAGCCACCTTTCTTACATTCAACCATGGAGTTTGCATACTGTAGCGTATAATGATTTTATATGAACAAGATTTATGTGGTTAGTGGCGATGCTTAGTAGCCCAGCGGTAGATAAGCTTTGGCCTAAGCTTCTTTATGGCCAGCCTTGTTGACTTGACAATTTCTCAGAATGATTAATTTTATGAAAACTTGTCATCTTTAAGTAGTATTCAGGATTTATAATGCTTGAATGATAATGATTTTAAATATAGAATGGAATTGGTTTAAATATTGTCCAGAATGGGTTGGATTGTGCTGGACTGTGCGAAGTGGATTTTGTGCCAAGCTGATCTTTAAACCTTTCTGTGGTTTATAAAAAATATGCTGCTAGCAACCTTGTTGAGGTCTGATTCAGTGTGAGAAAAAGATATATTACTGATGCAGGCATGCGTGCATTCACAATCATATCTTTTACTCGCAGAGTTGCAGTTAGTCAGAAGTTTGGAAAGTTGTATATACTTGGTCTATTTGTTTTTTTTTTTTTTTTGGCAGCCAAAAAGATGGTAAAGTGATTGAATATATTGGACCTTTTCATTGATTATTCTTATTAAAAAGAGAATATATTGATTTGGAAATGAATTGTGTTGTAATATCTTGAGTTGCAGTCATTGATAAAATGGGCAGGGGCATGTCTTTGATGGTAAACACTATTTGCTTCCCAAATCCTTCCTTGCCTTTTCATTTTCAGAGATCAACAGACTGCTCAATTTAGTTCTTGTAACAATTCACCTTGATGTCATAAGATATTCAAAATTTCTCTTTATCATGGGCCAGTTCTTACCGTCCCACTAATCATTTGAGTTTTCTCATGCACCGTATTTTTGGTTTTAATCTTTATGCCTCCTCCCTCTCCCCTGCGCTACTGGGAAATGAAAAAAAAAAAAGATCTTTTTAGATTGGCAAAATTAACAGTCATCTTTTATTGGCTCTCATTCTTTTTCCCTACATTTTTCTATGGGGCAGTGGAGTGCCTCAGGCCATGGCCCGTGTTATCCTTGTAGTTGCTTGTTTACTCGCTCCATCTGCTTCCTTTTGTTACAAAAATTCTCTCAAAACTAAAACTATTTAGGGTGAAAAAAGTGAAAAATTGCTACTCACCGTAGTGAAATCTTTCTCAGAGTAGATAATTGTTTGCATGCTATCAAATTGCATTTTAAAATGAGGCAGCAACTCTTCATTTTTTCAGCTAGATTGCCGATGGATGCACAAATAGGAATACTTATTCCCAATTTATTGGGATATTCCTGTTGTATTTTGCAACCATTTTTTTTCATCTGAGAGTATTTTTCTATTTGTTAGACATCATCTTATTCCATGGGATCACAAAACTGTACAAAAATAGTGTGAAATTTGATCTACAATCATGGAAGAGCAACCTACAAATATAAAAGTCTATCAAAGAAGAAGAAGGAACCAAAGACATTCAACATTGACACTACAATTAAAAAACGACAGTAGCCCATCTACGGCAAAGCAAAACAATATGATTTTGGCCATTAGGTCCACACATATGGTTTATCTAGCAAGTACTAATTTTATTTCTTAACTTTCATCATATTTTAGCATTAATGTTATATAGAACAGTTCTGTATTCTCGTATGTAGTCTTTTTGTTTTCTAAACCGGTTCTTTATTGTAAAACCGGTCTACTCAATTAGTTTAAATACCCTCTTGTTGTAAGAAATTGATCATGGGATGAATAATTTTCTGAAATCTCTCATCTCTTGGGAGCCTGCACCCACTCTAAAGGTGCTTTTCCTTCTTGTATTGCCAAGAAGCATAACACTACATTTTTTTTTTTTTATTTGCTAGCTCGATGGTGAATCTGGCTATGGGTAGGCTATCACTTACTCGAGTTGGATGTTGCAGGTGGCATTCAGGACAAAAGTCTTCCACCCAAATATCAATAGCAATGGAAGTATTTGCTTGGACATTTTAAAGGAACAATGGAGCCCTGCATTGACAATTTCTAAGGTTAATAACTTTTTTTTTTTTTTGCTAAACACTTATTTTGATTGAGTGGGTCACATCTTTTCACCAGATGCATGCATTAACGTCATAATTGAGATTTAAGTTATAATGCGAATGTTTGGGAAGCATCACATCCTAGGCTTTGTTACTATTCCTCTTTGTTAGACGTTAATGATTCTTTTTCATAGGTTTGCGGTATGAGTTAAGGCAATAATATGAATAGATATAGTCTTGTAGATGCTGTTGTTTTCAGGATAATTTATTCTTCCATAGCATTACATTTGAATCTGATTAAAAGTTTTGATACATAAATACTATTAATCAATTGCCTAAGCATCCATGCTGCTAACTAAATTTCTTTCTTAGCATCCAGGCTGCCAACAAAGTTCCTTGCCATTTTATTCTGACTGTAAGGTTTGCTTTTTCATTTCAAAAATTGCATGATTAATAATTAAGAATTTTCTGATGTTTTGATGAAATAATAAAATCACCTAAGAAACCGTAGGGCCTTGTATTTTGCTGGCATATTTTTAAAATCAACGGATGTTGAACAGATCCCATTGGTTGGCGTCAAGCGATGATTATTGAGGAATGTTGACATCAATCAGCCACTGTTGTTGGTTGATGTTATTTGGCGAATGTCTGGTGTTGTTGGCCGACAAGTTTGACGAAGGGTGATGGTGGGACTTGGATGTTGATAGACTTTGGTTGGCTACAAGCATCGAGCGATGTTGGTTTGTTTTGTGGGTTGATTGGCATTGGTGATGGGTGATGAGATTGCATCTGGAATTAAACATTGATGAATGTCAATAGTTGGACATCACAGAGGTCAAGAATTATAAGCATGCGGATGTTGAGAGTTGGATTTGTTGGACAAAATGCTTATTTGAGAGAAGTGATGATCACAAGAATGAGAAAAATAATTTGCTTGGAGCACGCCAACAAAAGAACGCAAGAGAATTTATATGATTTAGTGAGATCCAATTATGTTTATAGCCTTGCAGAGCTATATTTGTCCACTAGTCTAGATATTAAAACATGATACTACAATGTGCCCTCAAATCCTTTTTTTCCTCTATTTTTATCTCTCTTTTTTCCTCTCCAAAGGTGAGCTTGATTTCTCCATTGGTTATGCTTATCTAAGATGGAGAAAAGCTTGCCGCCTTTTATGTTGGTCCACCTCAATAGTCATTAGTCTCCGTGATATTCGCCAATTTCCTCTTGAGAAGGCTTATGACTTTCAACCATCGCCTCCATCTATTCAGTAAACTTTGCTGATCACTTAATTGAGAAACCCCCTTATATGACATTAGCCACAGTATTCTTATCTCCTCCGATACCTCCATCTACCATTTATGGAGGAGAAGAATAAGTGATGTCTTTCAACACCATAGAACCATCTCTTTATATATTATACTTAAAGGTGGTAAGTAACAAACTTGTATATATTAGGTTGGATGCTAATTGCTAAGTAATGATGGTATATAATGTATTAAGTACATGGTGGTAGTTAACAAACTTGTAGGAATTAGATAAAGGGTAACATGTAACATGCTTGTTTAGTTTAATTAGAGGGTGTTAGATAACTATTAAGGTTAGATAGAGAAATTTATCTCCACATTTTTATGATATCTCAGAGATAAATTTTTTGATGTAGTGTCCTAAAAGAGTCATTTCTATGTAGCACCCTCTTTTAATCATCAATAGGGACTCATCGAGGCTTTATAGTGCCTCTGCTTTTAGTGTTAAATCTATCAGCCTTGTCCATAACATTTACTTTTTGTCTTGTTGATTCATGATTTGATATACCATAACACCCTTGGTTACCTTGCAATACTCGCATAAACATGAAAGTTTGAGATATTGTATTTTTCATTAAAATGCTCAATCAAGATCAAATCCCTTTTCAAACCAGGAGCATGCCTTACATTGTGAATCTTCTATATTGTCCTATTATCAGTGTTGATTTTCACATCACCAACTCCCTTAATATTTAAAAGTGCACCATGCACAAGTTGAACCTTTTTGCAATCTCTTCACTTTACAACATTCTTAAATTCATCATTTAATTCAAATTGCATCCACCATTACTTTACAACATTCTTAAATTCATCATTTAATTCAAATTGCATCCACCATTCCTTTGCGGATAGTCTCTTTTCATGCAGTTAGTTTTGCTAAATCGCCAACATTCACTAACATGACCTTTGAATTGTCTCCTCTTCAAAGATTCAAATCTACCTCCGTTTTTTTTTCTCTTCATGCACTTTTCTTCTTCTTCTTTCCAGTTTCAGAACAATAGAAGGGCCTTCACCTGATTCTCGTCTCTTGACGTCCCATTTAGGATCATGTCACATACCATTGAGCTTTAATTTCATAATCCCACATGAATTATTTACTGTTGTCAGTATTTCAACCCAACTTTTTGGTTGCGACTTGTGATGATAATAAGCTCAATGAACTAGCTTCATCATCAAAGTTGATATTAATTGAGTTCAACTGTTTGGATCAAATTGAACTCATTGATATGCTGATAGTAAATATTTGAAGATTTCAAGTAAATCTTATCAAGAGAGCAAAAACAGCCAGAAATCTCTACAATTCAAATGGAAAACCAGTGAAAAATAGTAATTTTATTGCAAGAAAATAAACTATGGAAGAAAAGAACAAGATGCAATTGATCCTCTATTCGAGAGGAGGATCGATCTCTCCCAAATCTCTAGACATTGCTAGAGCCCAAAGAAAACTTATGAGATCTCAAATTTTAGCCAAATCAAGATGCCATAATCCTAGGAAAACAAACTATTTAATAAATACAATTCAAAAGGAAATCTCTTAACAGTCCATACATTCAAATTTCCCTCCTAACTCCCTAAAAAATCTTTCATAAACAAATTTTCTGGAATCGACGGCTCATTTGATGCGTCAAGGAGGTGGAACTTCCGCCTATTTCGTCCGTAAGTTGGTCCCATATGGACTGGCTGGATCGGTCTAGTGGAATGGTCTAACAAGACTCCTCTTCCAAAGTACCACTTTGTCCTCAAGGTGGAACAAATCTGGTGCTAAAGCACTTGACTAATAACATTATATTGAAAAATGGACTGACACTAGGTCGAACGATCCTTGCCTCAAGCATCTCCCTAATTAATCTCTCAATATCTTTGCTCTGGATTTAGGGATGACGGTATAGACGAACACTGATTGGTGGGACTCCTTCATTCAAGATGATAACTTACTCGCGCTCTTGCGAAGGATTCAACCCTTGAACTTGTTGGAATACCTTTCGATACTGTTGTAGGGGTGGTAGAATCATGTCTGATGCTTCTATCTTCTCTCCTTGGAAGTGCCTCCAAAAGTAGCATCCCCTCTTCTTCCCCCACCATTTCCACCCCCTGAGTCCCCCTCATTATCCATATATTAGGATTACTCATATTTTCTTGTCCAGTCAACGATGCTCTCACCTTCGATGTCTTCGGTTTGGTTTGGCCCTCAGGCAGCTTCTTTATCATCTCCTCCATAATGACAAATTTTTCATCGATCTTCTCATGAAGGGCTGAAAATAACTTTTTGAAATCTGAAGTCTTTTCTACACAATCTGATTTCAATTGTCCAATCTCGCCTTCCAATACTTTTATTTTTCTTCCATCCAAGGGTGCCCGGATCGAACAACTCTGATACCAATTTGATAGGAAACACTTGAAGATTTTAAGTAAATCCTATAAAGAGAGCAAAAACAGCGAGAAATTTCCACGATTCCAATGTAAAACTAGTGAAAAATAGTAATTTTATTGCAAAAAAAAAAAAACAGAAAAATAACAAGATACAATTGATCCTCTATTCTAGAGGAGGATCGATCTCTCCCAAATCTCTAGACGCCGCTAGAGCCCAAAAAAAATCTATGAGATCTCAAATTTCAGCCAAATTCAAGATGTTTTAACCCTAGGAGAACAAATTATTTAATGAATTCAATTCAAAAGGGAATCTCTAAACAGTCCCTAAATTCAAATTTCCCTTCAAACTCCCTCAAAAATCTTTCCTAAACATCTTTTCTAGAATCGGCGGCTCCTTCGGCATGTCAAAGAGGTGGAATTTCCGTGTGTTTCGCTCGTAAGTCGGTCCCGTATGGATCGGCTGGACCGGTCTAACATATGCGCCGCCACAAAAGTGCATTTAGCAAACTTGAGGTTAAAAAAATTATTATTAGATATATCTTATTTGTCGTTGAAGCCTTCCTGTACATGTTTGACAGAGCTTTCATCTCCTTAGCTATAGGACACTCTCTTGCAATATGCTTAAGGCAGCATTCTTTATTTGTGAAGCATTCAATTCCTAATGCTTGTCTATCCAAGAGATCTTGGAATTCTTGGCTCATAGTTGTGGGCTTTGACTTCAAGGGAGATGTATGTAATTTGTTTTTTGGTATTGTAATCATCGATCTATAGCTTTCAGTACCTGAAGTAGTTGCCATCATACCAAATGATCCTCGCTTCCCCATCTTCATATGTCATTACTAATATTGTTCCATAGACTCCAAAATTTGCCCTAGCACTGCTACTAGTTTGTAGGTAAAATCTTGCCTGCGAGTACTCTGAGAATCAAAAAAGTAGTTTGCAAGAACACCAACAAAAGAACACAAGAGTTTATATGGTTTAACGAGTTCCACCTAATTCGACAACGATACAAAGAAAATTGTTCATTCGTTAAGAGGCAAAAACATGATACAAATATTTAACATTAAATCTTTTCAACTTTTATCTTATTAGTATTCTTTATCCCTCACGTATTTTCTGTCCAAATTTGAATATGATTCTTCCGCTGACTATTCTCATAAGTCGTCTCATATGTTAGACTACTTTATCAGTCATCATCCCTATGATTTTTCTAATTTAATATTGAGAAGGCCTAGGACTTCTAACTGTCATCTTCAACTCTTCAGTGGTTGAGGACCTCTTGGGCTTCATTTAGAATGACGTTCTTGCTGCTTTGTAAAAGTGTAGTGAAAGTAACTTTTTGAAGTTGTTATAGAAAGCATATTCTTAGTGTAATTTTTTTAAAGCAATAAAAAAGCAACAACCAAATATAAATTGTGACTGCGGTATAAAAACAAAGCAATAAGAAAACGGTCTCAAACGAAGCCTGTCTCTGATCACTTGATTGACCACCCCTCTAGCTCTTTCTCAAACTAAATGTTAGTGTAAAATGAGTAGATGCCTTTCTACACACATTGAACTATCTTTTTTATGATACTTGGTTTATAATAAACTTGTATAAATCAGATAGATGCTGGTAGATAATATATGCTTGTAGATGTTAGGTGGAGGGTGGTAGATAAACAATGTGTTGGTAAGGTAAAGATTGATAGGTAACCTTTTTTAGATCTTAGGTAGAGGGTGGTAGAGAACTTGGAGATATAATTTTGCTTTATATCTCAATGCAACCTCAGCCAGCATCACTCAACTTTAGATGTCGGGTGACATTGTTCCTATGCATATGCGTTGTATCTAGGAGCACTTGGTCTTCTAACGAGAAATTATTCTATGCGGACACCGGACCGTCCGGAGACGAATGAGAGCGCGCTACGTCACCTGGCCCACAACGTTACACAATACTTGTACAAAACAAAAAATGATGCGGCGCTCTCTCATTCGTCATCGTATGCCGTAAGGGATCCACAGAATAATTAATCCTTATTTTTCTAACGAGGCTTTGGGAAGTGGTAAAAATGCTGAAACTTTGGAGTTGGACGTCTGTAGAACATGCATCACTGGCATATTTCTTTATCATAGTCTTTTGTCTTTCATGATTTTGCGCAAATTTGATGGTGTTTTGCAATTCCCTTTGTTAGGTTCTACTCTCCATCTGCTCCTTATTGACGGACCCAAACCCAGACGATCCCTTGGTCCCGGAGATTGCGCATATGTACAAAACAGACAGGGCCAAGTATGAGAGCACCGCAAGGAGCTGGACTCAGAAATACGCAATGGGCTAGCGGTTTGCTTCAAAGTCCGGGATTCATTGTGGCTTTTTTCTGCCCTGTTATATTAATTTGGCATGTCATTGTATTACTTATATGCATGAATGTAAGAAAGTGGTCATGTTATTATTCTCCCTGAATAGGAAAGCCCAAATTGCCTCTGTAGTATGTAGGAGGTGAAGATATTCCATCTTCATTGGTAATTGTTTAAATGGAGTCTTGAATTATAGATCCTGTTGTTGCTTTGCATGTGCTGTGTATTGGAAACTATTGCATTAAAAGTTTTATCTTGTTATGTTAGGGTTCTAAGCCGACAGGTAAAAGAAAGCATATAGTGTCTTGTTATTTCTTTGAATTGCCCAATATGTCATGTGGAGTCATGAAGCTATATAGACCATCTTCTATTCTAGAAAAATTAGTCTGTGCGGACGCCAAACGT